CGATCAAAAAAATACAAAATAATACGGACTAATAAATAGCAAACGATTATCTCTTTGCACTAATAACACCATCCGAACACATAATATTACTCCTTCAAGAAATATTTATCTAGTTTGGCAATCAAACTATCATAAAACAAAACAGTATGTAATATTACTGGAAACACAGCTCCTTGTAAATCACTTGTCAATGAATTTCAGAATTTGAAGGCCCATGTTCCAAACAGTGAATTGAAGCCCACTAAAATAAGAAAGAAACATTAAATTTAACAATGAAATACAAATAGACTAGATGGTTCAGTGAAATATAAATTTTATAATGTTTACAGTACACAAATTAGTAAGGATGACAATTGTGACCGAACCGATGGGTACCCGCACCGAACCGCCCCGGTCAAAATGGGGAAAACCGCATTGACCGGGTAACGGGTACGAAGCGGGAAATACCCGTTTTGTTTTTATGTGTAACAGGGCGGTTACGGTTTTATACATGCTCGCCCCATTACCCGCCCCGTTTACTTTAGTAATATTTTTATTATTATTATTTTATCTATTATTTGTCCCACACGTACTAAAATATGATATTTATCTATTTTCATTGTGTATATATGTATTATAGATGTATTAAGGGAAACGGGTCAGATAGGCCCTCAAACTTCCATAAAAAGGTCAAATAAGCCCTTATATAGGAGGCTCTGTCCGGCCGTCCCCATTTGGGGCGGTACCCGGTGGAATTTTTTGATGAATTTTTTTAACATCTTATTCATTAAGTCTAGTTTACTCATACCAAATTTCAGATAAAACTTCAATCGGGAAGGCATTCAAATGAATTCTTGAAGATTACTGCGCAGTTAAAAACGCAATTATCTTCAAGAATTCATTTGAATGCCTTCCCGATTGAAGTTTTAGCTGAAATTTGGTATGAGTAAACTAGACTTAATGAATAAGATTCTCAAAACATTTCATCAAAAAATTCCACCGGGAATCGCCCCAAATGGCGATGGCCGGACAGAGCTTCCTATATAAGGGTTTATTTGACCATTTTATGTAAGTTCGAGGGCCTATTTGAACCTTTCCCCTTATTATTATAATGTTTTGATAAAATCTAAATTCATGATATGAATTATTAAGAGTTGAGCTAGATTATTGTAGGAAGAGAATGACATAAAATATTAATACACATTACAATAGGAGTGGTAGGAGAGAGAATCCAAAATAATAATAGCGCATGGGGCATACTAAAGAATGCACCCTCATAGCATTGTTTTAGTTGGTGATGCATGATGCATGGGCATGTACTCACCTAGAGTCTAGAGATAATAGAAATATAGTACAACTAATAAATAATATAAAAATAACTCGTAATACTCCCCCTCCAGGTGGAGTGTGAAGATTAGAACGCCCAACTTGCTACAAAGGAACTGGAAGCGATCAGTAGCAAGTGCCTTTGTGAAAATATCAGCAATCTGGTGTGCGGCGGATATACGACATGGTTGAATTTCACCACTAGCAACACGCTCAAACAAAATAATAGTCCATTTCTACATGCTTGGTATATTCATGAAAGACAGGATTAAGAGCAATGTTTCGTGCCGCTTGATTGTCACAAAAGAGAGGCGTAGAACTAGTGTGAGGAATTGTAACTTGTAAGGTCTTGGAGTAACCACCGCAACCACAAGATTTCACTGACTGTGACGACCATGGCAGAATATTCGGCTTTTGCGAAAGACCATGAAACAAAAGATTGCTTCTTTGTTTTCCAAGAGATTGGTGAATTTCCGAGAGTTATAAATAGCCAGTATAAGAGCGCTGGGTGTAGGGGCACCCTGCACAGTCTGCATCACAATAACCGTTTGAGGCGAAATTAGTGTATGGAGATAGAAATATACCCCATCCCAGAGTCTATTTTAAATAGCGAAGAACACTCATAGCGACATCAAATTGACTCTGATGCGGCTGACTAAGAAACCGACTAAGCTGACTAACAGAGTAGACGATGTCAGGACGGGTAACTGTAAGGTATAAAAGACGTTTGATCAGTAGATGATATGAAGGAGCATCTACGGGTGGACTATTATCATCAGGACAGAGTTTCAAATGTTGCTCCATGGGAAACATACTAGGGCAACCAGCTAAAAGGCCACTTCCTTCCAAAATGTCAAGCGTATATTTGCGTTGGCTTAATACAAACCCTTCAGGAGAACGAGCCACCTCAATTCCGAGGAAATAGTTTTAGAGTATCCAGCCCTTGATACTAAAGTGAGCATCCAAGGAATCCTTAAATTTTCTGAATATGAGACATATCATTTCCAGCAAGAATAACATCATCTACATAGATGAGGGCAAAAATGTGGGTCTCTCCCAGTTGGAAAATGAATAGGGAATGATTTGCTCGATATTGATGAAATCCAACCCGAAGAAGTGACTAGGTAAATTTGTGATACCAATTTCGTGACGCTTGGCGTAACCCATAAAGGGATTTTTGTAATTTTCAAACACGAATGTGTCCTCCCTCTTTGATAAATCCTTGAGGAACACGCATCTAAACATCTTCAGAAAGATCTCCATGGAGGAATGCATTATTGACATCTAGTTGATGTACTATCCAATTTTGCTTCGCCGTAACGACCAACAAACATTAGGGTGTCGTGACTAGTTTGGAAACAGGAGCAAAGGTCTCGTGGAAATCCCTTGGAAACCAATCTCGCCTTGTAGCGCTCCACATCGCCATTAGGTTTATACTTCATTTTATAAACTCATTTAAAATCAACCACTTTCTTTCCGGGTGGTAGTTTGACTATAGTCCATGTACCACTTTTTTCTAAAGCATGTATCTCCTTTTGCATAGCCTCCCACCATTTGGGATCTTGAACAGCTTGTGAGAATCGTTTTGGCTCATCATGGGAAGTAATGGTTGCCAATTTTTTATGTTTAGTAGAAAACTGTCATAAGAGATACAATTCGAAATTGGATATACAGTTGTGTCGATTGAGTTTCCCGTCGAGTCAAAATGATTTAGGGATGGTGCCAGATCAGTGTCAAACCGACAAGATTTTTAGGTATTTGACAGACTCTACTGCTCTTTCTTATCTCACCCATAGTAGGTATGGACGTCATTGAGTCTGTCAAATCAATTGAAACATCAATTGGCGGTGATTCCAAATTTTGTGGTGCCTTATTGCTATGTGATGATATTTTCCGCTGACCGGATGGTGTGCCATGACAGGAAATGGGACCCACCGACCCATGTGTGTCCAAATTTTTTATTCGTGCCATGGTGATCGGTGGGTGGACTTTGGCAAGAGTCTGGCCCGGAGCTTCCTCCCATTATGTCCTCACCTGCGTGTTAGGCCTATCTTCTAAGAGTGCTTCAACTCTGTGGAGGGAGTTGTTGTCCAAGTTGGTTGATGCAGATGATGTCCAGGTCGCTGCTATGGTCGATGTTTGTTGGAGATGAGTTCCTAGCCTGTTGCATACTAGAGAATTGCCTAGGTTGTTGTAAATGGGAGATGTCCTCAGGTTGTTGATTAGCGGAGAAGTTTTCACGCCATGCAACACTCCTAAACGACTTGAACATCTCACCATGGAGATAAAATCCAATCGTTCATGTTCAATCTTCTTAAATGGAAATTCATTTTCAAAGAAAGTGACATCACGAGAACCGTAAATATCATGTTTTTGCAAATCAAAAACTTTATATGCCTTTTGACCTTTGGGATACCCAACAAAAATACAAGGACCCCCCCTTTCGCCGAATTTATCTTTCTGTTTATTATTGTGTGCATATACCAAACAACCGAAAACAAGTAAGTGTTCATAACTAGGCTCATTTCCAAGCAATATTTTATAAAGACTTTTATTTAAAATGACATGTGATAGTAGCCGGTTGATGATATCATCAGCACTGAGAATGCATTCTCCCCAAAAATCAATGGGTAAACCGGACTGAAAACGAAGGGCCCTTGCAACTTCTAAAATATATCTATGCTTAAGCTCAACAACCCGATTTTGTTGAGGGGGTATCTGTGCATGATGTTTCCAAAAGAATTCTTCGGCGTTCATAGTATTTAGATAAAAGATTGGTTTGAAACTCCATTCCATTATCTGAACGTACGCGTTTTACTCGTTTGTCAAATTAATTTTCAACCATGTTGCAGAACTGTATCAACTTTTGACAAAATTTAGATATATTTTTCATGAGATAGACCCAAACACCTATGTTGAAATCATTGACAAAAGACAAAAAATAGCGTGATCCTGAAGCATAATTACATCGATAACCTCCCCATATACCACAATGTATTAATTCAAAATAACAAGTGGTCTTACTTGTAATTTTGGGGAAGGAGAGGCGAGTTTGTTTAGCTCGCCCGCAGGGATCACAAAAATTGTTGTTATGTCGGAAGCCCTGGAGAAAAGTATTGTGTTGCAATTTTCCATCTGAAGCATGTCAAACGTTGGTGCCATATATCAGCGTTAAGAACATTTAACATTGCCACCCCTTTACCTTCCGGTGATTCTAGATAATATAGACCATTACTGAATTACTCATACCAATTAGCTTTCTTGAGGCTAAGTCTTGTAATATACAAAAGTCAGAGAAAAATGTGAGTGTGCAATTGAGGTCGCTAGTAAGAGACTAGCGGAAAGCAAATTGCACCAAAACTGAGGAACATATAAAACACGCAGAAGATGAAATCCATTGCATAAATAGACTATCGACTGCGGAAACGGGAATTGTTTCGCCATTAGGGATTCTGACAGCTGGTCTAGGTGTATGAGCTAGAATGTTGAACATATCATTACCATCACAAGTGATGTGTTCACTTGCTCCAGAATCAATTATCCAGGTACGGGCGTGAAGTGACATTTTTCGATTTCAACGTAAGTACCGGAATAAAAGAAGGGATATAAAAAAATCTCTAAAGAGAACAAAAAAAAATTATTTCTAGGTTTTGGCTTTAATACCATGATAAAATCTAAATTCATGATATGAATTATCAAGAGTTGAACTAAATTATCGAAGGAAGAGAATGACATAGAATTGAAGCATTGAGTTTATTACTACTCCATGATTATTAACACACATTACAATAGGAGTGGTAGGAGAGAGAATCCAAAAATAATAATAGTGCATGGGTCATACTAAAGAATGCACCCACCTAGCATTGTTTTAGTTGGTGATGCATGATGCATGGACATGTACTCACCTAGAGATAATACAAATATGGTACAACTAATTAATAATATTAAAATAACTCTCAATATAATTAGTTGTGTTCCGCTCTAGATTTGCCACCACCGGTCGCACATCAGTTTTGTTCTGCTCCATGTACTGCTCAATGTTATCCAGTCCATTCTCCATTTGCGACCTTGTACATCTCATTCATTGGCTACATGACCGAACTGCTCTGATATCAATGATAGGCACTCCAATTTTAACAGAATACTTTTGTATATTCAACACTGAAATGCTGAGAAAATTCTCAGATTTCTTACAAATCAACGTAAGAATTAGCACAATATAGAAGAAAGAGAAAGAATAGCATACTGAGACACTTAGAGTAGTCTCACACTCCCAAAGCCCAATCCCAACTAAATTCTACCTAACCTTTCATTCTACTCCCAACTCCTATTTATAATATTTTTCTTATGGGCCTATCCAAAGCTAACTATACCAATTATTTAATATACTCTATTATTGTTATTATTATTATTATTATCATTACTATAGTAATAGTAACACAATTTACAGAAGCTTTTAAAAACATTTTATAGATGACCGCCACGATGTATAGGGCTCTTGAGCTTTACCTAGGTTCAGATTCTTATACATCCTCAATTGACATGTGGTCGATTGGATGCATACTCGGTGAGTTGAGTTCGCATGATACTCTCTTTGCTGGCGACGACGGAGTTCTAGTTATACAAAGAATCTTTAACTAAGTAAATACTAATGAGTTTTTTCCTAGTTTAATGCTAAATAAAAGAGTATTTACCAAATTGAGGCATGGTTAAAAATATTTCCCAACCTACTACTAATATAAACTCTAGTTAGTAGTAGTGTAGAACAGCCAACTTCTGTATGTAGCAACGGAAAACCTACTACGCACAAGAGGGAGAAAATAGCTTGGGTCCCACAAATAAAAAAATCTTGTTTTTTAAAGTGTTATAACATTTTTATTTGTATTCCGATTGTTACAAAATATATATCAAAATTTATAACTTTTTATTATCTTTCATACGAGATCAATATTGGATATAAAAAAAACTTATATTTTTTAAAGTGCTATAACTGCTTAATTTGTACTCAGATTTATACAAGAAATATATAATTTTTTATAACTTCTTGTTATCTTTCATATGACACCAATCATGGTCTAGTCTATCTTTACTTCCATTCTTTTCATCGAAGGATATGCCGGAGTGTATCGGTGAGGGCTTGAGCGATTTAGACCTTTGTGATGAAGGAATTGAAGAAGTTCTAGTTAATTTATTTCCTAATATATTTTAGGACCTTTATTTTCGCAGCTTTATTCCCTAGGATTCTTTCCTTGTTCTAGAATTAGAATTATTTTGCCACAATAACTCTTGAGATCTATTCCATATTAGGACTCATCGCTTGTACAGTGGCAGAGCCACCATAGTTCAAGGGGATTCAATTGAACACCTAAACTTTTGACAAACATATTAGTATATATATATATTAATTTAATTTAATTATTTATTTTTCTTTCAAATTTTAATTGTACAAAGAAATGAACACCCAAAACTTCTCTTGTAATCAATATATACAGACCTTGGTGAATGAAGAAGATCAATTAGTTCTGGTCAATTCCTTCATGGTATCAGAGCAGGTTCGGATCCTGACAAACAAATAAATCACCACAGAATTCACCCAACCACCATGGCTGGAGATGATGCGGCAAAAGCATCAGAGATGATGAGTTCGTCTTCGACATCTCCATTCATCGACGACAATTCTGTTTACTATCTCCATCCCTCAGACTACCCGCAGTAGATAGATGTCAATGATGCACTGGCCGACGAAAATTATTCTTATTGGGCACAGGAGATGAAATTTTTTCTCTTTGCCAAAAACAGGATTGGTTTTATCGATGGGACCATCGCGATGCCTGAAGAAGGTTCAAAAGACATCATGGCGTGGAAGAGATGTGATGACATGATCAATGGGTGGCTTACTACGGCCATGTAGAAGGAGATTAGAGATAGCGTGAAGTATGCTAACTAAGCAGCGGAGATCTGGGAAGATCTCGAAGAACGATTTAGCAAGGAGAGCGTGCCACGTGCTTATGAATTAAAACAAACAATTACAAATACTCGTCAAGCTAGATCCTCTGTCTCAGCATATTACACCAAACTTAGGGGTATTTGGGATGAGATGAATTCAGTCTCGCCGGTGTTAAAGTGTACATGTGCCGGTTGGGAACAAATGTACAAGTTCTTAATGGGTCTTGATAGTAATTTTGGAACAATAAGCAGTCAGATTCTCGCTTTAAGGCCACCACCGAGTCTGGACACCACCTATCATATGGTGGAAGAGGATGAACGATAGAGATCCATCTCAGTGGGCACAAGACCATTCACGGAAGCAACAACCTTTCAAGCACACATTGAGAGTCGTCAGATACATAAAGAGGCGACGAATACTCGAGGGAAACAAGTAGGCCGTGGGTCTGGGAAAGAAAGAACTGGAGGCAATGATAAACAGGAGCAGTACACACACTGTGGAAAACTTGGGCACACATACAATGGGTGTTTCAAAAGAATAGGATATCTAAATTGGTGGTCGGGAAAAACAATACAACAGAATGGAGAAGGGGGGAATCGCTCAACATCTGGAAAATTTAACCTGAAGGCATCACAAGACAACCAAGAGCCGAGTCCAATACCAGGACTCTCAACTGAGCAATTTTCAAGACTCATCAAACACTACTTTAAAGAAACTGGTGGTTCACACGAAGCAAGTCATTCTTCTGTGAACATGGCTGGTAAGATACACTCAAATAGATCATGTGTTATTGACACTGGCACCACGGATTACATCACATATGATGGCAACATATTGCAAGAAAAAGGGAAATATGGTCATATGTCGGTCTCAATACCCAACGGAGACACAATTCCAGTAGAGGGGATTGTGAACTCCATACTACCGAATGGGTTGAAAGTCAACAACGTGTTATTCATTCCGCAATTTAAATGCAGCCTACTCTCAATTAGTTATATGACAAAAGATTTGAATTGCGCCATGACTTTCTTCTCGGTTTTTTGTGTTTCGCAAGACATACGCTCGAGGACCCTAATTGATGTGGGTAAGTGCAGAGATGGTCTATATTATATGGAGCCGAAAATGGGTGGAAGAGTGAAAGTGGCGGCTTCAGTCAAGGCAGAGTTATGGTGCAGATCAGAACGAATGAAAACTCAACCCAAGAGGCTCAATGACTTCATTACTAGCTTTCCACCCTCTATAGACCACTCTCAACCCGTTGCTACTCAAGAGTCCTTGACGGTATTTCATCCTGCAAACTTTGTCTCTTTCAAAACTTTTTCTAATGAACATAAAGCTTTTCTCTCAGTCATCACTACAAGTGATGAGCCTAAATATTTTGAGATGGCAAGAAGCAATGCAGAAGGAGATCAATGCCCTCGAAAGCAATGGAACATGGACCCTTGAGGCACTAACCCAGGGAGACGTCTTGTTGACTCCAAATGGGTTTACAAAATCAAATACAAATTGACTGGAGAAGTTGATAGATACAAGAAACGATTGGTCGCAAAGGGGGTTCACTCAACTGGACAGTATCAATTTCCATGAGACCTTCGCTCCAATAGCTAAGCTTGTCACTGTCAGAGGTTTGCTTGAGGTCGCGGCCAAGAAGGGTTGGGGCATTCATCAACTTGATGTAAACAATGCATTTCTACATGGGGATTTGGAGGAAGAAGTGTACATGAAGATTCCCAAAGGATCCGCGAAGGAAGGAGAGACCGGGGTATGTCACTTGCAAAAGTCACTATATGGTCTTCGACAAGCATCTCGTAGCTGGCATCACAAATTCACCAAATTTCTCCTCAATATTGGGTTTCGACAATCATGAGTAGATCACTCTTTGTTCATCTTCAAGAAAGGACCTATCTACATCGCAGCCTTAATTTATGTGGACGATGTTATTATTGTAGGCAACACCAATGCAAAAGTTCAGGAAGTGAAGAACCACTTAAATGAGCACTTTAGCATCAAGGATTTAGGGCCATTGAAATATTTCTTGGGCATAGAGGTGGCTCAAACTGATAATGGACTCGTCTTGAGTCAACGAAAGTACACGATGGATATCCTAAGCGAAATCGGGCAATTAGGGTGTTGCACTAGTCCTTTTCCAATGGAATCGAATCTGCGCCTAGACAAAGCTGATGATAGCTCCACGATAGATGCAGCAAAATATCGATGACTGGTGGGACACTTATTTTATCTCCAAGCTGAAATGGACTGCTACTTTATTCGGGAAAGGGTACTATCAAATGAAATAAGGCCTTTGCACTTAGATCAAACATCAAGCTGCAAATATTTTTCACAAAAACACTTGGCAAGTTGGGTGTTGGGTGTTCGAGACCTGCACGCTCGAAGTTGAGGGGAGGGTAGAAGCTCTAATGTGTTTCCTAATATATTTTAGGGAATAATTAAATATTTATGACTAAAATACATGTAATTTACTAAAGTGTTGCTAGTGATTATAGTAGTAATGGAATCATAGTAGCTATGTTCATTTTTTAAAACTTAAGTTACTATGACACTATATTTTAGTAATTATTAGTCATATTTGTGTAAATAAGTTTTATTTTAATAATATTTTTGAAAAAAAAAAACTCATATGTTAGGCCCTTTATTTTGGTAGCTTTATTCCCTGATATTCTTTCCTTGTTCTAGAATGAGAGATTTCCCTAAATAGGACTAAATAAAAGGATCATTGCAATAATAGAAGTTTAAAGTTTAAATTCACAAAATAGGACTAACTCTTCCTATTCTACCCTTTCCCTTGTCCTTCCTAATAGGACTTTTTAACTAATCGTTATAAAACATAAAAAAAATAAAAAAACGTAAAAAAAAAAAATATACAGACCTCAACCACCACCTCAGGCACCTGCCAGCATCGCCACCTCCGGTCGCCGTAAAGGACTGCCAAGTTGGGGGGAAATGTCATCGTGATGACAATTTTGAAAAGAAAGCTAAATATTTTCAAAGAGTAAAAATGTCATCTTCATGGCATTCTCAGAGAAATGTGACATTTTTATACAAGATGACCTTTTTTCCAGCGACCGGAGGTGGTGGTGCTAGGAGGTGTGGGATGTGGAGGTAGTGACCTACATATTTTTTAATTTTTTTTAGATTTTTTATTTTTTTAAATACTTTTTTTTATTATTATTTTATTTTATTTTTTGCCGAATTTTTTATTGATTTATAAATTTTCTACGATTTTTTATGTTTTTATTTTAAATAAAACTATGATTTTTGTTATTAATAAATAAATCTATTAGAAATTATAGGTTGAAGGTTGAATAAAAAGAAAAGACTTATATTACTCGTATTTTTGGAATAAAACAAATATAATCATAATGTGAAATTTTGGACTATTTTTAATCTCATTTAGAGCTAATATCCTTCTAGAATTATTCTGCCATAACTCTTTGCAAAATATTATTTGCTAAATTCGTCTTATTTTGTACTTGCACACCCAACAGAGAGGATCAGTGCTCGTGATGCCTTGGCACACCCTAACTTGTAAAGTAATTTGAACTGTGAGCACTGAGCATCAATAGAAGTCCACTGCTCTTTCTGTCTTTAAAAAGAAATTTGTAGAACTGCTTATATTCCTTGTTTCTTTTCACACAAGCCTTTCTTTGTTTTTCCCCTAATCAACATTTGTAATTTTTACCGAGTATTTTCTTATCACTGCTGATTTGCTGAATGTTCTTGTGAGTTACAATATCTATGGGACGATATTAATCTCCGCATGTGTGACTCTAGTTGTGGAAATCTGAACTTTGCTAGAAGAGTTGAACGTAACAAAAGTGGTGAGCCTTCTCCTGCTGGTAAATAATGGTAATGATGATCGTGATGGCGTCGGAGCTGATAATAATAGACAGAGGGTTAGATAGTGGAAGTGGAGGAGATGGTAGAAGCAGTGCTTATGGTGATAACCAGGGAAGAGATAACAGTGGTTATGGTTAGCAGGTCAGGGTCCTCCTCCAGTCTGTAATACCAGTTATCCTCCACATCTAAGTGGTGGTTATGGTGGAAACAATAAATATCCTCCTGATGCAGTTGGTTTAAACAAGTGTAGACACGGGGTTACCAACGTTCATGATGCCTAACACATGCTGTGTTTGGCAGCCAGATAATGAGAGGTCACAAAATAAGTGTTGTCATGGCTGAGAATTCTGCTCCGAAACCTGCACCTGCATATGGCAAAAGGTGATTTCTTATACAGTTACACCAGAACTCCTTATATATTTGTCTCTATTTATGAACCATGCTCACTTTTTGAGATTCTTTAGTAAATCATCTGTCCTTCCTCGAATATGTGTCATTGTGTACCAAATGCCCATACAAATATTCAATCAGTTTTAAAAAGCTAATATATTAGTTTAGGCACTTCACCTTAGGCTCACAAGGTGTAAGCCTCGAGTGATGTAGCAGTGTAGCACCTAAGCCTCACATATAAGGTAATAAGGTATACTTAACAAAAAATAATTCATAAATAATTCATTCAGCAAGAGAACTAAAAAGTGTTCTTAAGTAAATATAAGTTTAAATAACATTAATAATGCTTCCATGGTACATTTCTGTAGTTCAAACAAAAATATCAAATAATCAAATCAACTCTTCAACACAAAAGCAAGGAACGCGAGCATGACTAATCAACTGAACATACAAGAAAGTGGATGTTTTAGCCAAGGAAAATTAAAGCAATTGCGCAGAATTGTACTGTTCCAAGCAGTCAACTAGAGAATATGATCAAAGAGCTAGGTAGAGAATGAACATCGAAGTTTTAAGGTTTTGGTTGGATTCATGTTTTCTTCTCTTTTAAAGTCTGTAAAAGAGCATACTCATTTTTTATAAAGAAAAAATCTTATTGAGTTGAACCTCACCTAAAACCGCCATATTTTATTGTCAACTGTCCATTTTAGCGGAATATCTGAAGTGTAATCCTTACACAGCCAATGAGACATGTTCCTCAGTGTCTCATCTCGGCCGGACTTGAACTTGTTGAAGCGCAAGCCTTGAGGCAGTTATCTAGCATTTACCCTCATGTGATATGTAGATCATTCTCCAGTGGCATTAGGCATGGTTTGAAAAGGCATTTTTTAAGGTGTTTGAGGCGCTGTTTATTTGAGTTGATGTGTAAGCCTCGGGGCAGTTTGAGGTGTATCCCTCAACATAACAACACTTAATTCTTTAAACTACCTGCATTGACAGTGTGGCACACATGTGAGGAAACAAAAAAGTCATAAGTTTAGAATCTAATAGGATATTATCCACAAAACAAGTGGAGACACGGGGTTTACCAACGTTCATGATGCTTAAACTTCAGAACATTAAACCTCTGATATATTTTAAACACATATTTGATGAATCAACTAAAAAGTGTACTTAAAAGTCATTTTCACTTAAGGTCAGTCAAGTTCAAGAATGGGCATGTTTAAAATTTCCATTATCACCATGGGGTACATTTCTATCAGAGGGAAAGTAGAGCAATTAAAGCTGTGAAGGAAGTAGTGAATGTGGCAAATATATGGTTAATAGGCTAAAAACATGCTAACTAATGAATAAAAAGGGTCAGCATAAATTTTATTTATGAATAATAATCCCATGATCAAATCAGAATTTTTTAAGCGTATGAGTCACTGGAAACACATTTGAAGCGTATGAGTCATAAGACTCAATCCAACTACCCAAGGCTTAAGCCGGTGGAACTGAAGCGAGCCTTGAGGGCGCCTCGAAAGCGCCTTCTAGAAAACAGGTTTCTGGTGGATGGGTGACACTTAGGCAGAGTCAATTGGACTGAAATTTATATGTTAGAATTTGGATGCACCCTTTAACTACTTAATTGATTTGTTTAATTTCAATAAAAACTAAGTTTATGTAATGGAATTAAATTATCTAACACTTCTGTCTTATATATTACAGATGGTGGACAGTTTATGTAGTCATCAAATTTTGAGTATGAACTCAAGGTGTTTGGAGACGCTCATTATTGTTCACTGTGAATTCATATAACATACTTTTGTTTGCTTCATAATATTTTGATTTTCCTGCACTTTCTTTTCAAATTGTTTTTTAAGGATGGTAAAATGTAGTGAGATCTTCTTTCGAATGAAGATGGTAACAACTAAATTGACAAGGCAAATAAATACACAACCACATCAATAATCACATGATTAAAAAGGCCCAACCATCTTCCGTACCTTATTTTCCTGATCATTTATCACGTTAGATGCAATAAAGCTAATGATGAGAATTTGCTACCAAAAGCAACACAAAGGCGACTGAGTAACTTCAAATAGATGAAACCCAAAGCCATTGAGTAGCTTCAAATATTCAATATAAATTAAAAAGCCAGTGAGAAACTTTAATAAAATAAAAGGCGACTGAGAAACCCAATAAATTAAAAGCTCACTTGTCATTGCGTCCTAAAATGACTACTTGTACAGATGGACTAATCTCTTGCAATGGCATCCAATCCTCTATTTTTGCTAAAGAATATCGATCTTGAATGAATATCTGCTCAAGTGCAACTGCATTTTTTAGTAAATAGGCTGCAAGCTCCTTGACATTCCAATGGTGAATAGCACCAGAAAACTTCACTGTTTTCAACTCAAAATGTGGTTGCTCTGGGAATTGTGTTTGCACGACTTGCATGGGGTCATAACAATTACTACACTGCATTTCAAGATGGAAGGTTATCAACGTCAATATTCTAAGAAGCTAAAACAAGGTCAAAACTTCTATGATATGAACCCCTGTTTCATCCAAAATGAATTCATCGGCAACTCCTGTTACCTCAATTCTCAGTCATTCTTGAAATCCTCCAAAAGTAATTTGTTATAAAAATGAAATTAAAAAGCCACCTTTGATCTCGACATAGAGATCAAACTACACAAACATGCATAATAAAAGAAGGCATGTGCACGAATTAAGTAGCAACCTTTCCATATGAATTCAATAGGCAAGAGAATGTTTGATATAATGGACTACACAGATACTCAAGTAGTCCTAAACAAGAAAACAGTGTAATGTTGCAGATGGAAACTGTATCAACATACCTACCTGAGAGGAGAGAACAAGCACTTAACGTTCATACAGGTGACAGCAAAAAGGAACCCAACTAGGTATCCGAAATAATGGTATGCTTGATATAGACAACATGGATGATCATCAAGTAACAAGCATGATACCAAAAACCATTACAAGAAAACTGTATCAACAAACCTGTAGTTCAAATATCTGGAGTAGCGGACAAGCATTTAACATGCAGGTGAGAGCCCTAAGGTCAAAAGGTTTCGGGATTATAGTTCTTATATTAAGCTTTTTTAGACTGCGTCTAGCAAGAGATGCAAAGAATGGTTGTACCTGCCCAATGGAAAAAGAAGGGATTATTTAAACAATGTGTGTGACTACAGTTTCTAAAATATGGGAAAGTCATTTGATATATTACGTTTATGTATATATGTGTGCATTAGATTTCAAAATTGTGCATTATGTGAAACCAAAAAGTGCACTGCTATGAATCAGAAAAAACAATTACTAGTACATTGTAGTGAATAAATTAACTTTTCTACCAAAATGGATTTTGCATTATCTTAAACATAAATGTGCACCGTCATGAATCAAAATGTGTTTTATTTTGGATTGTTCTCATTTTTCGCACCAAACATTTCATCAGAACTGGGCCATATATGTACATGGTCAGTTCGAATGAAAAAACTCTTCCAGAGAAAAAGTAAAATGAATCTGAAGTGTTCAATGTTACGAATTGCACTCTTGTGTTGCACTGATACACCTTTTTGTTCAGTGAGAAATTGATTTACTGTACTAATTTTGAAAAAAATGAACACTCTAAATTCATTTTAATTTTTTTCATTGGAATAATACTTCTTACTTGAACCAACCCATATAAATATAAGATTGAATAAAAAGACTCTTCCCATGAAGTAAGAATAACTTCGATGCATCGAATTTATGATCTAATGGCTCTGAATATATTAAAAATGCATTAAACTGAATGAGAAACACAGTGGCATTTTGGAAAATAAATCCAAGTTTATCTCCACTGGAAAAGTATATTTCCTATACACAATAATATATGATATACTTCCTCCGCCTTGAATTGAAATGCAATTTGAGAATTTTAAGGTTGACTGACGATAGAGTAAAATCATCATTGCGAATATTTAAATCAATTTTAGTAATTAGAATTTACATATTCAGAAACTACATTGAAAGTTCTATACAGTCGCAAAATCAAAATTAAAATATAATAAAAAATGATATGTTAAATAAGTAGATAAAATGAAATTGTGTTGACCATAACAAATCATTTTGGGACGGAAGAAGTATGATCACAAGTGGGTAGTGAAAATCATCTGAAATCTTAAGTGCACCAACAATGACTGAAAGTGGAATCGTTCTCACTTTGCACGGAAAGACCAGTTTTTATTAGAACCAGATCCTAGATATATATATGTATATACAGATCAATTCAAGAAAGTAGTCTTCCAATGAAAAAATTAGAACCATTTTCATTGGAAGACTACTTTCTTGAATTGATCTGTATATATGTGTGTGTGTATATATATATATATATATATATATATATATCTAGCATTTGGTTCATTGTTTGGAAATGAGTAGACTGGATTTAGTTTCTCATTAAACAAAAAAGTGTATGACTGTGGCACAAGAATGAATTACAACGGCTTAACACAAACCAGCACAAGTTTTTTTATTTGTTTACATTTAAAAAAATCTGATGCACTGTTAACGTATAGAAATACAATATTATGTATAAATGATGCACTTTTGAAACCCTAAATCTTTACGTAATTACTAAAATGCCACAGCATTTTTATCCTAAACAGTTCATGTAAGCATGGGCGTATCTAGGCTGGGGGCAGCTGCCCCCTCAATCCAACCCCTATAGGCCTATAGAGAGAGAGAAATGATCTCCTCAGGCGGTCCGCATGGGAACAGCTGTCCAGCCAAGGCCATTTGAATTCCTTCCCGGTGATTTTTTTTTATGAAATTAATGAAAATGTTCTTCATTAAGTGTAAATTATCTCCACAAATTTCAGTTTAAAATTCAATCGGGAAGTCAGTTAAATAAATACTGAAACACACTGTGCTTTATGTATACATATAAAACATATGAGTAACCGCTCGCAATTTAGTGACTAATTTCTCTCAACAAGGGTACATCTACAAGGGTGACACGACATGAGTGGCCAGTATACTGAAAAACCTCAAGACAAGAACAATGTAACCCCTATTTTTGAAAGAAAACAATGGTACTCCAATTTGAGAAAAAATATTCTGTTTAACTTCTATCAAAGGAATTTTATCTACAATTGCATATTTACATACTAATAATATAAATTCATCTTTTATATGTATGTATATATACATATAAAAGATAAACTAAGTCTATATGTCTAATTACACAATATTCATAACGTGATGTGATCTGCTATTTGTGGATGTGTGAACAAATTTTAGTGTAAATTTGCCCCCAATAAATTTTCTGGATACACCGCTACACGTAAGAAGTACTTTTATTTTATTTGAATTGAAGTATATGTGTGTCTGTGGATATATGATCCTGACTTAGCTTGATAACTAACCTGGCTAGTAAGTGTAAGGGACAAGGCTTCAAGACTTGGGGAGTTCGCGGTGAGATGATCAAATGCATATGCGTAGCCTCTCGCAGTTTCGTGACTAATTTCTCTCAACAAGGGGACATCTATAAGGGTGACACGACACGAGTGGCCAGAATACTCAAAAACCTCAAGACAAGGACAGTTGAGTTGGATCCCTGAAAGATTCTGGATGCTCAATTTCTTGAGACGGAGGTGTGGACCATGTATGGAGAGTAGAAATGGCATTGGGCAGGAGTGGAGCGAAAGGGACAGGAGATTTGAAGCTCCAGAGAGGAGACGTCGGATCCCCCTCTCAGCCAAAGGCACACGACTCAAATGGAGTGCAGTCAAATTGCATAACCAGCTAATGCATTCACGAGAAAGGTGCAGTTTGCAGAATGTTAGGCTTAAGTTCTTCAAACGGCAAGGAGGCGCTGCTCCGCCTGCTTTACCATGGTTTAGGAGATGAGATGGGAATACATATCTTTCTTCACCTTCCCGCAGGCCACGAAAGTTGAGCTGTATTTCCTCGACTCCCTTTCTAATAGAGGTCTCAACCCAGCTATCAATATGGGACGCGTGTTCATTCACAAGAGAAAACTCAACAACAAGTTTTCCCATTTTTTGGCCCATCCAAACTTCCATGAACCTATGGACAATGTTCACAAACTTGGTGTTACGAATATGTCTGAGACTGTACCCAATTTGTTTCCCAAACACAGTAAGGGGGTCAAAGTGGAGAACAGGCCGATAGTCAGGGAGGTCTTTCCACAGAGCTGTTGAAAACCTCGCTCTCACACCATCTCTAACAGGTAGCAAAGAGAGAATGTAGCAGATGGTTTCGAGGGGCAATTGGGTTATGTTGTTCAGAACTGGATCCCCTCTCCCCTCCTGCAAATGAACTGGATCATGAGCTAGCAAGCTAGTAATAAGAGCATACAAATATGGTGAAACATAAGGAAAGAAATTGTTTTGGTTTTGCAAAGAGGTCTACCCTACCTACCTGAAAGCTCAGTTTCTCAAGATTCCTTTTCCTTTTTCTGCAAGCTTGTATAGGCCAAGTATCTACTGCCTCTTTGAGCTTCTCCATCTCCCTTCCTTCCTGGTGCTTGTCTTTGACTCACCCACACTTTTGTTTCCAGATTAATAAGATCTCTTATTTCCAATTACCCAAACAGAAACTAGAACCGTGGACGTAAAAGGACAGATTCAAGGCTAATTTGGATTCAAGATCAGATCGGACTCATGTGTTCAAATACTCCCTTCCTGGCTTCTTATCTTTTCCCGCCTGACGTCTTTTGGCTTTACCGCCCCTGCAGCAGGGCCTGCTCTAGCATATTTGAGGCCCAAAGCATTCAAATAAAAGTGTTACTTAGGTTCTGTTTGTAATCACTTAAAATATGTGATTATGGGTTTTTTTTAAGAAAAAAACACTTATTTTTATCAAATATTATCAACTTTTACTTTCTTGGTTTTTGTGTAGAATCTACTTTTTACTTTTTCTATTATACAAAAAGCACTTATTTTATCAAACACTACCAACTTTTACTACTAATCACTTTTTCCCAAAAACTGTTTTTATTTAAACACGGGTGATTGCAAACAGAGTCGTATTATATAACAAAATACTACCTTCATTTTTTCAAAAAAAAATACTACTACCTCCATAAAAATATTGTTTTATAAAATCAACATTTTTGTATCAATCAATAATAAAGATATAGTTATTAAATTAAAATTTAATTAAAAATTGATATCCCAATTAAGTGAATAAAATATGAAGTAGTACATAATGATTTTTTTAATAAACTACGGAGTATTACTAAAACAGAGCATTACTATAGGTATACAATCAAGGTCTTTGCAGTGTCCAAAATGAACATAATTATATGATAAAAATATACTCGTATAGTTTTCATATTATATACATACGTTTTTGTATAAGAATGTGTGAATTTTCAAAGTTGATGTCAATGATCAATAAGGCTAATATAATAAGACTAAAATACAAAGAATACATACTATGTAAAAATTGAAATTAACTAATTAAATAATAGAGAGAAATGATCACTGATTCAATTCCAAACTTTAAATTTGTGTTCACACTTATTTAAAATCTAGATGCCACTATAAAATAATTGATTGGCATCCTAATTTAAGAATGCAGGTGAGATTACGAAGGAATACAATCATCTCTCAAATAACACATATAAATATATTTAAATAAAAAGCATTTCTCAAAAATTTTGAGGCCCTAAAAATATGGAGGCCCTAGGCACTTGCCTAGGGTAACTCCCCTTATCACCGGTTCTGCCCTGCCGGCAACACTTGCCCCGTATATTATACTCGGTATATCTTACCTGTACATGTGCTCATAAAGAAAATCGGAATTCTTCCAAATATATTAACTTATACGTAGTACTCCGTATTATTTTGGCTATAAATAAACCTTAACTAAAGTTGTTTCCATATTTTTATGGGAAAAAGACTCTAATAGGATTAAAACATAAGCTTTGTATTCAAATAGGACTGACTACTTTTATATACCTAAATACGACTAAAAATTGACCGCTGGACAAAAATACCCTTCATTAATATGGAGTATAGTACGCGTGCAGTATATGCTAGAAGTTGTATTGTTTTTTACTTTTAATTCATTCACAATCGCATGAGTCGATTCATCCATGAGTCGCCATCAAATCCATAGATCGACCTTCGTTGGGAGATGCCGCAACCGCTGCTGGGAACCGCCATCCGCCACCGGGAGATGTTGACTGCCGATTGCCGTCCACTGTTGAAACTCCGGATAAACCTTCCAAGGCCTTACTGATGCAGTTGTCAGCGAAAGTTATTCTCCGGCTGAAAAAACGCAGCGCTTCAAGCTTTCTTAGCATATTGGATATTTGGATGGGCGGTGCTTGAATTGTTAGGTAACGCACCGGTGCTTCTGAAGGCTTCATCTCACCCCGTTCTACTCTGGAGTTGGATCTGTAGCTGGCCATATTCAATTAGGAATATAGTTAGGACTTCGGACTCAATTTTAAAATTCAACTTTACTGCTCCGTATTATTATTAAACTAAAGTTGGCCGCAACTGATACTTTCTTATCATGATAGACTGTCCATCCATACTCCATAGACAGGGTTATCTTGTTACTCCCTTATTTTTTGATAAATTTTAAGCTAGTTTCTAAGAAATTTAAACACACTACCAAAATGGTGAAACAATGGCAATTGGAAAAAATGTCCCAATTCTAAATGTGATGTCCCACTAAATGTGATGTCCCAACAATTAATGTCATAATACTTTAAACATTATCATAGTATAGAGCAAATGTCACAATGTCAAAGAAATGTCAAAAATAATAATGACAATTTGAACACTATAGAATGACATTGTAATACTGACAATGTCAATGCCTATCATAACAATGTCAATTCTATAATATTGGATCGGATCAGATTGTGCACACCTCTTTAAAAGTAATATGTAGTCCTTTAAAAGTAACACTGTGTATATAGAAAAATACTGTTTCATCATATTACATAGTATGACCTTTTAATAATGACAATGTAATAAGTATCAATGACAATGTCATAAAAATGTCAATAAAAAACAATGTCAATGACAATGTCATAAGAATGTCAATGGCAATGTCATAAGAATATCAATGACAATGTTATAAAAATGTCAATAACATTGTCAATGACAATGTCATAAAAATGCCTGTTGAGGTTTTGTCCCGTAGATCCGAAAGCCTAACATAAACTTCAGATATTCAGGAAGATGAATTCGGTATAAACATAAATAAGTATATAAAAGGTGTATGAACTAGCTATTTTTACGTGGAAACCCGAAAAGGGAGAAAACCACGGGACTTTTTAGGCTAACGTCCAAGCCCGCTCTTTGTCATTAATATTCTCCCATCACTCAATTACATAGTACCAATATCAAAACCTCCATTAATGAAGTATGAAGCTGGCTAATCTAAGGGGAGGAAGAAGAAAGCAGTAAAGGGAAGAGCCAAAAGCCCATCCTTAGAATGGAAGCCTTGCTTCCTATTTATAGGGAGGGGGAGAAAAAAAAAACCTCTAGTCTAATGGGCCGCAAATGGGCCGAGATAGGCCTAGGTGGGCCGAAACGGGCCAGGCTGGCCTAAATGAGCCTCGCTGACTGGGCTCCGTACCGGGGCGGTGTCTTGGGTTTCTGAACAGTAGTGGGCCGGGGTAATATACCCCAACAATGCCAATAACAATAAAATACATTTTTCCCCCGCTTTTAGTTTGTTCGTATGTACAGATCACTATTTTTTTCTTTTCTTTGGTTAAAATGCAAAACGTTGACAAAAAAATTGTTTTAGTTTAAAAAATTAATCAAAATAACTAAAAATGAGAAAGAGAGGCGAGCAGAATCTGTAAAGCCGACCAAGCTACAAACTTTACATAATAGTTAAACTTTGAATAACACTAAAAAAACAAAATCAAAAGAAAAGTTACAGAAAAAAACTCAAAAGGTGTTAAAACAGATCAGCGACGGAAGGTAGAAAAACAGAGAGAAAATAGCGGTGACGGAAGAAGAAAAGAAGAGGAGAAGAGAAAGAGAGGAGCAGGAGGAGGAGGAGGAGAGAGATCTGTATCATCTTCTGCGTTCACCGGTGCCGCCTTGCACCTCTTCTTCACCGACTCGCCGTTCATTATCTCTTTAATCTTCAACTGGGTCTGCCGGATCTGACAGTATCCGCCACCATTGTTGCCGTGCGTTCCCGATCAAAGAAGAGGTAGAATGAGTAGATTGCAGAATGGAAGAAAATAGATGGGAGGAATTGGACGGGAGAGGAGCAGATGCCGAATTAAGCCTGGATGATAAAATGGGAATTAAGCATAAAAGGGGTCCTATTCAGGTATTAAAAAGTACTCGGTCCTATGCGCGTACATGTCGAAAGCTATAGTCCTATTTAGCACCATTTCTCTATTTTTATAGGGGTGGGATTATGGTTGTAAACGAAATAAATAATTTGTGCTCGATTCGCAATTCGAATTCGCATAAGACGATTCGAATTCGGAAAATTAAAATACAAATAAGAATATTAAATTTGATTCGAGTTGTTATCAAATACAAATATGAATATCAGTATATTCGATTCAAATATTAATCAAATATATTCGATTAATAATAGTGGTAATATTAATAATAATATTATTAGTAATAATAATAGTAATAAAACTATAATAACTTTTAAAAGCTGACAATACCCTCAAAGTGTAGCTATATATATACATTTATACATACAGATTTCAATCCCATTTGTAGTAAATTGGAATATAGATACGAATGCAAATTAAATTTTTGGTTCAAATATCTTTCAAATACAATACACATAATTATGTATTCAATTGGAAGAATAAAATTAGAGTCGTTTGACTTTGATATATACAATTATTAACTTATTTCACACATTATAAGTATACTTTCTAATATTTGTGTGTTAATGTTTATTTCAAAAAGTTTGAAATAGGTTTATATTTATTAATCATAAATTTGATTCACTTTAGTATATTGTGCACAATCTAAAAATGCATTGATCAATTAAATTTAAATTCTACAAACACATATTAAGTCATAGAATGCATTTACAACATAAAAAAATATAAGAAATGTTATTTTAAAGTGATATATTTGACTAATACTACCTCCGTCCCATTTATGTTGTCCCGGAAGAGGGTGACACGGTTATTAAGAAAAGTGGGTTTGTGTGGTTGATATTAATTGATAAAGTAAGAATAAAGTAAGAATGATTTAGAGAGCTACACAAACTTTGCCAAATGTGGTATGGGACAATTTAAGTGGGACTTCCCAAGTATTTAACCTATGATCAAATCGATTCGATATTCGTATATGATTCGTTAACTATATATTCTTATTGTTAAACAAATACAAATACAAATCAAAATTAATATTCGTTTCATATTTGAATTCGAATTCGTATTCGAAAAAATTAAACAAATACAAATCCAAAATCCTACTATTCGACTCGATTCGTTTACAATGGGTTCGGGCCAGGCTTGGGCTGGGCTCGGACCGGACTTTTTATATTTTTTTTTGCCCATCATGTGTGGGATTTTGTATTTGTAGTTGTTTAATTTTTTTCGAAATGGAGTTAATGGCTAATAAGGGAGTTGAGTATGCTGAGTCAGCTGAAACATGAAAATGTTAATGAACAAAATTTGTACATTTATAAAATTCATATTTGATAATAAAATTACACTATTGTTTTCGTTTATTGGGGTTTAAAATGTTTATGAAAGTTTTCTTTATTGAGGATTGCTTAGTTTTGATAATGGACAATGATGGTAAAAGTCTCCATTCCATGAAATCTAAGTATGAAGGCTTCCCAAATTGAACTTGTACTGCTAAAGAAAGAAGGGAAAACTATCAAATAAGTTCTCGTACTTTGTCAAAGTTCTCAATTAAATTCTTGTACTTTAAATCAATCAATTGAGTCCTCAAAATTTGAAAAAAAAGGGAAAACTGTCAAATAGGTCCTCGAACTTTCATAAAAAAGTCAATTAAGTCCTTCTATAGGAGACTCTGTCCGGTCGTCGCGATTTGGGGCGGTTCACGGTGGAATTTTTTGATGAAATTTTTTTAACATCTTATTCATCAAGTCTAGTTTACTCATACCAAATTTCAGCTAAAAATTTAATCGGGAGCGCATTCAAATTAATTCGAGAACGCAAAAATGCGCAGTTATCTTCAAGAATTAATTTGAATGTGTTCCCGATTGAATTTTTAGCTAAAATTTGGTATGCGTAAACTAGACTTGGTGAATACGATGCTAAAAAAAAATCATCAAAAAATTCCACCGGGAACTTCCCCAAATCGCGACGGTCGGACAGAACCTCCTATAGAAGGACTTAATTGAACTTTTTATGAAAGTTTGAGAACTTATTTGACAGATTTACCAAAAAAAAAACACTCAAATTAGCAATTTAGCATGTCACTAAACGGTTATCCAGTAAAATGCATATGTAGTCTACGTGACTTTTGTTTTTAGGTGCCTGCTTCGGTACCTTTGGTATTCTTGAGAGTACAGTACCTAGTCCAAATGGCCCATTCAATGCTTGTCATGTGACTCATGTGTATTAAATTTATTACACATCAGATCTAATATTAAATCTTCATATCTATATATATATTAAAACAGAAAAGTGTGAGGGGAGAGTTTGGGCGGGAAGTGTGAACACAAACTATTTCAACCGGTTGGAGTTCGAAAGATGTAAAACAAGGCTGGAGTTCCCGAAGAGGCAGAGGATTAAATGAACCATGTCACCATGTGAATTAATTACGGAGTATTAATATAATGATGTCTAGAAAGTTGGGCAAAAATAATTACGTTGTATATAGAATACAAATTTGCACATGCATCTAAAAGTGACTGTTGGTTTATTTTGAAAACACATTTGTTGGTTCTCCTATAAATAGAGGGTCATTGGCCCATTGCAATTTTTCACTCATTAAGGGATGATGTTGTTGGTGTGAGGCCATGAGGGGTTGATATATGTATAATTATTAAGCTCACGAGAAAATTGAAGAGTGTCGTCGGGCTTCCATGCATTAGTAATCATCACACACCAGGCCACGGGCCGGGTAAGATGATCGTTGACAATTTTTCCTGCTTCATTGAACAAGAAGAAACCATTCATAAATGCAATCGACATGAGGTAAAAAATAAAAACCACTCTTTATTTTACTCTGTATATGAATATATATACGTAGTACTCATATAGTAATATAATATACTATCGAAATTCTGTGAATGTTATTCTTTAATGTTCATACACTATAATCCGTATTAAACATTTTTTCTTATCAAATATTTCAAGATTGTCAAGCGGCAAATTGATCTTTCACCGTTATTCACACGGTGCATGCAAGAAAAAAGTATATTCCGTATTATTTATGTTGTAATTTCCGCATGAAAGTATGTGTCATCTATGTCAGAATATCTATATATCTGGTCTGTAATCAATAATCATCATTGTGGTTGGTTAACAATGAAACAAATCGGAGGGAAAACATGCACTTTGCGTGTTAGTGTTTACTAATATACAATCGTGTGGAACACACCGAGAAACTTTGATTTAGATTTTCGAAACCAAATAAAAAAATTATCATAATAATTTTGTGTAATGTAATAGTTCAACAATTTGCACTACAAAAAAACACGGAGTTAGTCACGGATTTAGTCACGGACCGTAGTATAAAAACTCCGTGACTAACTCTGCTAGTCACGGACAAAGTCCGTGACTACGGTCCGTGACTAAACGAGTGTTTTTTTGTAGTGTTGTTTCAGTCCGATTCTCCTTTAATTTAGATTTTCCAAACCTGTTTATATAAAGGGAAAAATAAATCAAATACCCCAAATTTTGGAGGAGTGTGAGATAACTACCCCAAACTTTCATATGTAATTTAAATACTTCAAACTTTATATACTAAGTTATTTTAGCACCATGACCATATATTATTATTTTTTTCAAAAATAGAAATTTAAGGTTTTAATTTCATAATTTAAAATAGCAAATAAAAAACGTTGCAATTATATAGAGTTGGAGTAGTATATGTTATTTTACAATGGAAGCATAGATTGTTAATTGTATGTTCATGAATGCTAAAATATTTTAAATTATGAAATTAACACAAAAAATTAACATTTTTGAAAGAAATAATACATGATCATGGTGCTAAAATAATTGTTTATAAAAAGTTTGGGGTATTTAAATTACATATGCAAGTTTATGGTGTTTACCTCACACCCCCTCAAAGTTTGGGGTATTTTAATTATTTTTCCTTTATATAAATTGTAATCATATTTAATTTGTTGCCAATTTCATACATTAATAACGACTTTTCGCCGTTTTCGGTTTTAACTTTTTACCTCGACAAATCCTTCCTAGCTAATAACACAAATTCATCCCACACAAACTATACTACCGCACCAAGATTTATTAATCCAAGTGAAACAATAAATCCAACTGGCAATTGCCAAATATCGAACTATAAAATCTCAATTAAGATTAGGAATCCCACTCACAAATCGGATCAATAAATATATATATAAGGATTAAAAAAGCTTTCCCCCGTTTGTTTTTATACCAAGAAAAGAACCTCCCACTTTCATTCCAAAATATGGAATTATATTGGAAAAAACGCAGCTATAGTAAATTTTATATACCCCTAGCTATATGACCTAAATCACGGACCTATAAACCACTTCAGCTCTTAATAAACAGTGATAGATAAAGAGATGTGCAAAAGTAGTATCGCAAGCAATTCAGCTCTCGCCAACGAATTGAAGGCACAATTATTGGAGTTTGTTTGATAGAATCGATTTACATTTAACAATTACTTTAATCCAACTGAAGTGATTAGTGTTGTTTGCAACTTATAAGAGGCTTCAGAAAAATGTTAAGTGTAAAAATATGATCGAATTACATATATGTATTTTGTTGTTAATTTTATGCTTTATTTAACTTAAATAAATACTTTGTCTAGCTAAAAAATAAAGAGATAATTTCCTTAATAGGAGTTAAAACGTTTTGAAATTTCAAAATATGAGTATCATGTTTTTTATTCCTTAAATAGGAGTAAATTTCTGTCAAGTTTAGTTTTACAAGGCTTTAAAGATGACAGTTTCTTTCAAACTTGGCAGATTACTCCTATTCAAGAAATAAAAAACATGATACTCCTATTTTGGAATTTCCAAATGTTTTTACTCCTATTTAGGGCAATTTCTGAAAAAGGAACTATCACACTTCAAAAAACATTTTATTTTAGGTAATACTGGGTAAAAATAAAAAGAAATTACGGCACTTCTAAAAATAATTGCTATTATTCGAAGGAATAATAAAAACATTTTTGCTATGTTTAGTGGTTACGGTGTGCTTGAAATGTATTAGTGTTAATTATTAAGTACTTTGCCAGAGTTATGTGTTTTACTCAAAACTCTAGAATCAAATTAATACACATTGATGACTCTAAATTCTGGGCCGGGATTTAATATTCGACTTTGTTTAGACATACGTGCTACAAAAAATGGCGGGTGAATGAAATGTTATTGTGAGAAAAATCCAAGATTTAAATTCTAAAACTTAAATTATAAAGGTTGATGTCTTTTGAAACTCATGGATAACAATAGGGTTGTAAATTAGTTAGATTTAAATAATAATGATTTTCCTAGAGTTGCGAGCTTAAGAAATGGTGAATAAATTTAATCAGTGCTAAGAGAAATCCAAGATTTAGATTCTATAACTGAATTAATAGAGCTTGGTGTTCTAAAATTCATAGATATCAATTAGGTCGTAAACATACCAATATTAAGTCTCTATTTTTTTAAGCTCTATTTTAAAACTGGATCGGTAGGCGACCCGGACAAGTGACCGGTCAAGTGCCAATCCCGATCCAGATGGTCGGCCAATCAACAGTAAAAAACATGGTCAAATTAAGTCCCACAATAGACGAAATTTTTGAAAGTACAACTAATTGCCTTAAGTAGTGCATTGGATGTTAGGGTAGGAAGGTTTCCGGCACACCATAGGTCAAATCCCACAATAGACGAAATCTTTGAAATTTAAAAATGACCAGGTTATGCGATTTCGGGCAAGTTTAGGAAAGGGGTTGTGGTCCGGTTTTTGGTCTTCAAGTCTAAGCGTGTTTTCATGATTTGTGAGTTTGGTCCTAACTGTCCCGGGATGCTGAGTGGGTTGACTCTCTCGGGTCGGGTTGGGTCGGACAACATAACTTTTATTTCTTTTTTGCTAGATGTATATTTACAATTTGTATTATTACATTGCAAATTTGTGACAATACAATTGAATTCAATTCTTACGTAGGAAATAATTAAATTTCATTTTTAATTTATATTATTAAAAAAAGTTATATTTTATATAAGAATCATATTTTCCCGTGCATCGCACGGGTATGAAACTAGTACTTCTTATAATTTGATCGTGTGCCCCTCTAATATTTATTAATTTAATTGTATCCATTTAATACGTTAGCCTCCGTTAGTGTTCCGCCTCTCTTCCTTGTCAATTTCCATTTCTATTCCCGTCGTTTCCCTTCATCGATCTTCTTCCTATCTTGTCGCCGATGCTCTCAATCCTGGGGTTCTCTTGTTCGGATGAAAATCACTGAAATGAAGACCCAGCTCTACACTTCGCTAGCGCTAGCCAGGGAAAAATAGATATTCGACGGGGAGCCCTTGAGGGTATCAGGGCTCAAGTGATTCACTGAAGCGACGCCCTACGGTGCGGCAGAGACAATCTAACTTTCGTTGGGCTTCGATGGCAGCTTGAAGGTCACAGATTGGGAAGTTGGCCGTGGTCCGTCGTGCATTGTGCAGACGCCAGATGACTTACGTTGCCAAGAGGGCATTGTGAGACAAAGGATGTAAAAAAGTGCAAGTGGTTGGTTCCTGACTTGATGGGATGGGAGTCCTTGCCTCCTTAGGCATTGCTTGGGCCAAGTTCAGTAAAGACTGGCTACAACGAAACACTCTTCTCAGGAAGCTCCTAATCTCACTGGCAGTTGAGTCATGTCATTTAAGTGATTGATTCCACTTACATCAGTGTATGTAATAGAGCAAATTGGAAGAATCTGGTGTTTGTCTAAGACAATCAAAAGCATTAGTATTTACATCAATTGAATAGTTTTGATTACAAGTATTTACAGAATTATGAAAATAGGTGTTATAAATTTGCTGAAAAATTTCAGGATTATTCTTGTTTAAGGAATTAGAAGAATTTACATTATTAGGTGGAGTACTAGCTAACTGATCTTTACAGTGAAAACCATTTTCATAAATTTGACATTTGTAGGTATAAACACTTTTTGTGTGATAAGTATACTCCGTATATAAGTATTGTGAATAAGACCTAATTTGCATCTGAATCATGATAGCTTACTTCAGAGTTGGGAGTGTTTTTTAGTCCATTTATCATTCTTTGTTGATGTTGCTTCGAGCATTGGCTCAACCAGTGGTAAATTTTGAATTACTCTCACATGCATAGGTGTTATTTGCAGCTGGATAAAGCTGCTACTGCTCTGCCTGAATTAAAGCAGCCTATAGCGATAGCTAAAATAAATGCAGACAAATACAGAGTATTCTTTCTTCTAAATATGACATCGAGTATGTTTGCTATATATCCTCTCCCATCAAGACAAATGAGTGCTAATTGGATTGATGCTTGTGGACTCCAAAATATCACTTTTAACTCTGACCAGATCGATATTTCTTTCTATGAAAACTGAGATCTGCTCCAAGAATAGATAAATTCAGTTAGGAATGTTGCAAGTTAATGATGTGTAGTTGAATCATTTAGGCAGTTGATTTAATAAAATATTGCCTATGGACTTCCTAGTTATGTGAGTAAAGAAATTACTGTATGGGATGTCTATATCTAGTATAAATCTTAATCTCCAATGATTGGACTTCCTAATTAGATTTCCTAGTTGATTTTTATGTATGGGAGCTGTTGCTTATTAGGAATTCACATTTCATAAAAAATTAAAGTTCTTGGCACTCTATTTGAAGATCCTGGTGTCATATCATCTAAATCAAGTACATCACCTTTAATATACTTGAGGGGAAGTCGTTAATTTGTGCTATTGTTCATATGGAATCACGAGAAAGTGCTGAGAAGCTTTCGTATAAGGCATTGAGAGGTTAATATCTTTAGTTTTATTTATTTATTATTTATTTATGTGTTTACTACGGAGTAAATTTGTGATGGGTATATTTATGTTATTGATTAGCTAGCTAGTAAGTCTGTTTAAAATAAAGAAATGCTTTCAGAAGAAAGAATACTCTGTATTTAAGAAATGAATATATATAATTTAATGAATCGATGTGTTCTATTAAAATATATACCTTTATTGATTTGATAACAAAATTTAAGTTATAGCTTACTCTTACAGGACTCCTGTATTGAGATGGATTGATAATATGGCAGAGGATAAGAGGAAATGCGACAACTTATGCAGAGATAAAAAAGGATGGATAAATCTCCCTCATTCTAAAAAATGAAAGCCGGTTTCAATGACTTTTTTTTGCCTAAAAAGGGTCCAATTTGATCAAATTAAGCTAATCTATCATGTAATTTTCCAAAAAACGGCAAGAGATATAAAGAAGTTACATATGATAAACTTGGTTAAACCATCAAATGAATTTTGAAAATGAAAGTGTGATTCATGAGATATGAAAAAATGACAATGGTACTTGTCCGAGTTAAAAAGTTGTGCATAGGTCAAATGGGCCACTTTTGGGGGGGTGAAGACAGAAGACAGTAGTTTACAAGTATAGTTAAAGTATATGAATCAAATGGAAGAATGACTATTTATTTGATATGTTAACACAAGAAACTAAATCTTTTGGGATTAAGGCTTGGATGTTGTTGTTGTTGTTAACACTAGAAACCAAATAAAAAAAAACAGAACCATACAGCACACTGACTCCAAAGAAAAACAGGCATCAAATTAAGGTATCTTTGTCCTTTCAGAGGACATTTTCTGTTTCAAGGAATGCTAGACTACTAGGAATCATTGTCAGTTTAAGTTCTTAATAGGTTATTAGGCTGTCCTCATCAGTGGCTAATGGAAGAAAGATCCACTTGACAAACTGAAGTGTGGTCTGTTGGACAACAACAAATATAAGAACTAATAAGCCTGGAAGATTATTTTCAAAACTATGCCAATCAAATTCCTTTACCTGTTTAGCCCCTGCACCCCGTGCATCCAAACACCTCCTTGATTTTGGAAATCAACATTAGCTTAAACCAGTTATTTCTAAGTGTATGTTTGGCGGGACATTTCATCTGTACTATAGATGCAATGTTGCAACTTCATCTATCATTTAACAAAACATCTTCGTTTACTCAGTAGATGAAAATTCAAAAAGAAAAATGAGAGATACTTGAAGTACATTTTCATTTAATTAATTACACTTAATATTTTGCACCCCATATTCTCAAAGTTTTATCAAATTGCAATAATGTAATTCTTCATCATTAGTATATATGTTAGCTGCAGCAATTCATTAATTTAATACTTCAGAAACTAAATTAACTTCTATCCTTGGCATGATCAATCTTATTTTCTGAACTTCAAGCACATTCTAACAAAGTAACCACATGTTTCAAGATGGAAAAACAATACAAGAAAGAGGCTATGCATTAGAACTACATTGCATTCGTATAATAAACTCATAGAATAAGTTCAAAGTTATTTGCATACAAACAAGTCCTAAAAGTTCTAATTTTGATTGGATATTGGATAGCTATTTTGCACAAATTAAAACCCTAAATTAGATTGATGAATAAGCCGCATACATACCGAATGTCCTAGAATATGTTGAAGAGAATCCTTGAAAGACGTCGAAATTCTTAATTCATTGGGCTACGTCCGTTGACAAGTGAAGCCCGTGAAAAGCGGCTAGGGTGCTCTTAGGTTGCGATGAAGAGAAGGAAACACCGTTTCTTCTTTCTTCTGTGGTTGCGGTGGTGAGCAGGAAACCGATGTACTTCTTTGGGCGCTGGGGACCTGCGGTGGAGAGTAGGAAACCGCCAACGGCGACAAGCACTTCTTTCGTTGGTTGCTGTGGAGAGCAAGTGAACGGGTAGGGATTAGATGTCTCCGTTATAATTGAAGATGCCGTTTACTGTCCATCTGTTCAAGGACTAACCTGCAAAATTTCTTTTTCTCAAATTGATTGCCTTGTCATTAAATCTATGTGTTTTATATGTCCACTTGTCTATCTATTATTGGGCCACTCAAGCAAAGGTATGGTACCTCTGAAATTACAAAGGTACCGAAGCAGGCACCTTGTTTTTAATGTTTGGGAAAAGAGACAAATAAGCCCTCGAACAAACAAAAAAAAAGCGCAAATCACCCCTTATATAGGAGGTTCTGTCCGTCCGTCGTCATTTCAGATTGTAATAATATTAATGATATTGATAATAATAATAATAGTAATAATAATAACAACAATAATAGTAATAACATTTACAATAACTACAATAATAGAAATAATAATAGTAATAATAAGAATATAATCGATGATATTTAGTCTCACTACAATTCAAATTTAATTTATGGAAACAGATGACGATGAATACATTAACTTCGTTTTGTTACAAATCATATTTTGTTGCATGATGGAAATTTCATAGTTATAAAAGTAACCCTAATAAATTTGCATTGGTTCGATATATTTTTTCTTTATAAATAACGCTCATAGAATTTGAAATGTAATGATGTTTACATTTGTACTTGCGTATTCAATATGTTTTTAACATTTTGAAGAACTTGAACTAGACGTCTTATTCTACTATAATGACCCAACTTTTATTGACAACGATTTTCATTTTTTATTTACAAACAAAATTTAAAAAGTTCTTTCATTCTATTAAGCGACGAATAAATTAAGTTTGGACTTGCTATTTGAAGCGATAAGAGCTTCGAAAAGTACTTATTGATCGTGCTTTGAACTTTCGACGTTTTTGCGTTGTAGAAGTAAGTTGCATGCATTAATTTTTTTATGGAAAAAAATTATGTTTAGGAGCCGATAAAAGTAAGAACCGAACCGTTTACTATTGGTTCGGTCCATAACGGTTCTTGAATTTTTAGATAGGAACCGAACCGATTTGATTAGTTAAATTTTTTGTAACGGTTCCATTTATTTCATATAAGAACCGAACCGGTCCCTGCCCTAAGATAGACCATTTGTAGTGGGGAGGTCACAAAATTAAAAATCAATTCCTTTCATATGAAAATAATGTTTATACTCTTATTTTACTACATTCTAGCATCGCCAGTAAAATACACTCAATATATTTTTTACATAACAATTTAGTCAAACATTAATTAAATTATTATAAGTAATGTTTTTCTTTTAATTTTTTCTTGAATATGAAATAAAAAACACACATTTCGATGTAAAACAAATCATTTATTTTATGTTTTCCAGTTACCAACTATTGAACTGAGTTCAAACACATCGGAGTATTGGATTCTCTTTTCAACTTGTGTACTGAGTACGTAGTATTATTTATTTTTTATTTATTACGGACTACTCATTTCGTCCATATTTAAAAGTCTCTCTTTTTTACACACAATTTAAAAAACTGACATTGTTGACATTTTTATACACACGTTAGGGGCGAAGTCAGGGGATTGATATTGTTTTGTTTACCAAATAAAGAAAAAGCCTTTCTTTTAGGGAAATTCCGAAAAGAAAAGAACTTTTAGATAGGGACAAAGGTATTAAACTAGTGACTAATAATTTGAATGTGATCACATAGACTCCGTAGTTGAATGTGATCAATAGCATCTAAATATTTACGTATTTCTTACTGATGTTTGCGTATAAAAAGTTAGAAACACCCATTGATAAAAAAAATACTACTGCATGTAATATTTCAATCAGACGAGGCCACGAAACATCAATTATACCTAATAAAACGTATTGGGACAATTTCCAAGTTAAATCAAATTAAACACATTTTTAAAAGTAACATTTAAAGCAACTCCATTCATTGGCGGAAAGTACAATAAAATTTGGACTAAAGCAAATCAAATTAAACACACTCTCCGTGTTTTTTTTTAATGATGGCACGATCCAAATGAAGTGTATGGTCATAAGGAATGGTTTATAAGGTTTCACATCGAAAAGATCTGAATAAATAAAGTGCTACATTAATACATGGACTACTCCTCCTAACATGGTTGACCTTTTAGGATGGAACCCTAGATCTTAACATATTTCCATGTAAAATGTGAAAATTAAAACATAAAAGTAATCCACTCACACACACACAAAAAGTAATCAATCTAATGAAGCAACATTAAAGCCTCTGTTGAGGACTTTGGGAAGGCATGCACGATTTGGCTTATTTTCATGAAGTCATCTCTATCTCGAACATTGAACCATATTTCCATTTTTTGTAGAGCTGGTGTTCTCTCCAAAAGTATTTGGGCCAAAGACTTGATGGGATCACCACTTGAATCTCCCACCACGTTGATTAACTTGATAAACTTCAAATTTATGAAATCGCCATTACACTTCTCCTTTGCTAGTTGGGTCCAGTTGTCCTCCAACACTTGCGGATAATCACAACTTATGATCAAAGTGTCAATGGTTGGAGAAGCATTTAGAATGACTAGAGTACACAGAGGTAAATCTAGAGAACTGAAAAGGGTTTGTTTAGCATCCCATGCAACATCCATTCTCAAGCACCTAATGTTCCCTGTTGGAAGCTGCCAACCGTGATCCAAAAGTTTTGATACAACCTGAATAGAAGCATCATGTAAATGCAGCTCTTGAATGTGATGGATCTCTTCAAAGAAGGTCTCCGTATTAAAGAATACAGCTTTTGGTATGACTTCATCCATGCCGATAAAGTTGTATCCTACGCTCACTAGTGAGGAGCAAGGTTGAAGCTCAATTTTTCTGTACATATGATACACCAACAGATCCACATATTTTATATGTGGTGCTGAAATGGTCAAGACTTGCTCAAGATCTATTTGATCTTCTGGGTCCCTCAACACTAGATCATGTAGGTTTGTGGAGCTAATGGTCAAATGGGTAAATCCCCAACACTGATGCAATTGCAAAGATGATAATCGTGGGGAGGCCGAGAGTATATTGTCCATGACAAGTTGGGGTATCTGGACTCCTGAAATTTGGAGTTTTATCAAAGAAGGCCATTTAATTTTTCCCTCAGGTGGTTGTATATTACAAAATTCCAAAGATAATGATACTAGAGATGAACTAGTATACATGATCTTTGGAAGTATGTAGGGATGCCTTTCATTCTGAATCCTCAATTTCACAATTTGCACATTGCTCTCACACCCAAAATCTATCCAATGATCAACGTCTGGTGTAGAACAATCATTGAAGTTGATTGTAAGCTTTTCAAGTTTTTTTCCCTTACGAGCACCAATTAGCCTGTTCATCCCGTCAACAAATTCTTTCCTCTTGTTAGGTTGATACCAATCGAGGAATTCAAAATCAAGATGGGGTGATTGAGCCCACAAGAATCTCCATCTGCTCCCCAAAACACTCGTTCTAGCGGCTTCCTTGGTGTCCAATAGAGAGAGTATATCAGCAATCAAATCATCTGATAATTGATCCATCAATTCTGTCCGAGAGCTCCGATTACCAGAGTGAGAAGAGACTGTTTGTGAAGGAGGGACGCAGCTATGAAGTGCAGCGGCCTTGATTCCACGGGTAGACAGAAGCAGCGATGCCTGCGAATCCATCGATTACCTGAATCGCAGAATTGATTCCAGTAAGGCTAGAGGGGGCTGCTGCCCCAATAAAGACCCACTCACACACTCTCCGTTTTTCTTTTCACAACAACGAAATTTAATGCAATAAAATAAATTACTAAATTAAGTTTCCTAATTTACCCAATTAATAATTGTACGTTCAAGCTCTCGCACAATCAAATCCGACTCTATTTCGTAATAAATCAGTAATTCGATCAACAAAGTCGCCGATTTACGACCTTCGTTTCTTTGGTATGAGCAACTGAATCAATCCGACAACCCAAGTTTGGTGATTTTAGCGTCTAACCGTTTTGTGTAATTGGAAATGAAATGATTGTCAATGGGGATTAGAACTATGATCTAATACAAGTTAGTAGGTGTGGAGTGCACACTTGTATATAAGATTAATAATTTAAATACAAATTGTCTACGTCTGTGGAACTCGGGGTAGAACTCGATGTATAACTTTCGGTAGACTAGCTTAGTGGTTCTAGACCGAGGTCTAGAGCGGTTGGACAGTGTCGAGCAGTTACCAAAAAATGGCACGATTTATTCTCAAACGTGTTGCAATTGTCTGAGATGGTTAATATGAATATATATCACCTTATTTCGTACAAAGAAGGGGGAGATGTGGGATATAACATATCTTCATCACTTTTGACATTCAAATTAAGAAAATAATTCATATAATCACTAGTTTGACTCTAATTTTTGTGTCTAAGTTCTAGAATATCCTTAAGGATTATCCTGGATTGAATTTCTTGTAACTCAGACATGGGGGAGAAATATCAATTTAGAAAGTGAGCTTGCATGATCCTTTAGCAATCTAAGTACTTGATTATCACCCATATGCCCGAAACCCAACATAACTCTCTAATATTCAAATTAAAACGGAAATTTGGTTTTTTCTAGTAATCGTACTCGTATTTTTGAATCTAATAAAATATCACAAGTTCAAAATACAAAGCTAGAAGGGGCAAATTGCAAAACTGTAAAAAGCTTTTCCTTCCTAAGTTTCACGTTCACTTCTTATGTAAAAATTGAAGAAGTTTATACTAGGGACGGTTCGAATAAAAATAATTTCAACAAATTATTCATTTATATGGTATGTGTCTGCGATTAAAAGGTGTGGCAAACACATGTACTAGATTAAGGCGTAGATCCATGATGATTAAGTAAATTACATAAAATTGAAAAATTTATGAAGTTCTTCTCACATCTATATTGAACTTAAGATGTTTTAATTAGGCGTTAGTAATTGTGTTCATCACCGTTGAGCAGTGAAAATAGTTGATAGGATGCGGGCAAGGTAAAATTAAAGATGTCAAATGTTTCCTTAACCTAAACTTAATCAGTGGCTGTAAAAAGTGAATTGATTAGTGTATATAGAACTAGATTCTT